AGGATTGTACTCCTTGCCAGCCAGCTCACCTCTCCTCCTCCTGTGGCCTTGCACTTAGCGTATCTTCTTGTAGCTCCTGCTTGGTCTTGACTGCACAAATGTTTCAAACTGATCCACTCAAAAAACGTGATTGGAACCTGACGCCAGGCCAAGAATAATGCTGATGGACTCAAACACAAATAATAGTACTGTGCTCACCAGCCTGCTTTCCAAAATATGCCAAAAAAAAAAAATCGAGGCACTGCCTTAGTCTAAGGGCCATGTGAACTGCTAAGCTGTGTTCTTGGTGAGCTAAGTGGAGCTGGCTTAAGGTGGCCCACTCCCCTCACCCTGTCAAGTGCATACCATGTAAGGATCAGAGGATGTAGTAAAAACACTTTTCCAGGAGAGGCAAGTGAGAAGGGATGATAACATCTCTTATGCGGCATGCTTTCACCATCAGACTCACTTGCAGGACATGCAGAGAAGACCTGTTGGCCTGTGCCGCCTCTGTCCCCTGGCTGTTGTCGGAGGAGTTTGGGCAGACTGAAATTGCTTTTCTGCAGGTATTGGAGGTACTGCTTTACCTCGTGTGCTGTAAGCCTTTTCCAAGAGGAGTCAGCACACGACACTGCCAGCACAATGTCTTCATGTGATGCTTTCTCACCCTCAGCTTGTCACATGAACAGTCTCGTCCCATGGCCTTGTCTCACTGTACCGGACATAGCTGCTCTGTCCGTATGTCTCAACCCTTCCAGACTGTCATCACGCAGGGAGAAGACAGTCAGTTTTCCAGAACTGGGGAGATGTGCACCGTGGGCAACAGACCACCAGTGGTAGTGGTGAGATCTGCAGCAGAGATGGCCTTAGCATCTTGAAAATGGATTAAGAATGAACAGGGTCCAACTGGTCCATCCATCAGAGTTAGAGCACTGAAGTTTTAACTGTGTACTCGGCTTCTTGAAGTCCTACGAACTGTCTATTACAGAAGAAGTGCTTATAACGGGGAATATCCTGACGTGCCTCTTCAGCCTTGAGGAGCTCTCGCTGCCAATGGGAAGTCATGGTCATATTTTTATTTGCCTGTTTTTCTTGTGCAGGGGTTGTGATTTAACAAAAAAAAAAAAAACGGAAAAAAAGTGTATGTGCCTGTTTTTCCATACAGTGATATTGCAAACACCATAACTGCTATTTTTTCTGGGGGGATAGGTGGACTGGTGCAGATACTACAATAGGACCAAGTGCTGATTTTGTTTGATCTTAAATGTGAATTGTTCTGAAACTAATAGCGATGGTTGCTTTTGGGAATGGCTTGGGTTGTTTGGGGTTTTTTTTTGATTGGGTGTTTTTTGAGGCTTGAAGCTGGAAAAACAAAGGTTTGCCAAATTGCTAGTCATAGGGCATGTTTCATCTAGGGCGTGACAAACTTTATTGCCTTTGAGAACTTTTGGGCTTAGAAATGCTGCTGGGTGGGTAGTCCTGGAGACTTCAGTCCTTTATTTGTGCCAGAGCTCTGTCTCATCAATGTCTTCGTAAAGGTCTACTGGGATGTGAATTTACCTTCTACATAACAACACCATTACAGCCTTGGCAGTAAAATGCCATTTTTCTTCTAGCAGTTTCCTTGTGGGTAGATCTAGAGATTCCTCCAGGCTCCCATTCATGTGTCTCACTTTTGTCTGGAGGTTGTTAGCTGTTGGGGTCTTCTGGGGTGAATTTTGTCAAGGGCATGCTGCCCTACCGGGAGCAGGATGGAGAACCCGAGGTGGGGGGGTCTGATTGACTGTTGGGAAACTCTTTC